ATATATTATGATGTTCTACACTCTTAGATAATATCTATTAGAGCATATTACTGAATACATTATGAAAGATTAAGACATGTTATACTATATTATGTTATATTTGATATTTTTACTTATAGATCATTTCATAGATAGTCATAAGCAAGTTTTAAAAACTAACAAAAGCCAGAAAAGCTGGAAATCTGGGAATTAATTTTCAAAACAGGAAGTCGCACTCTTCACCCTGCTCTGTCACATATTGTCATGAAGGAAGCAACCTGAAGGGCTCTTACTAGACACAGCACAGTGTGTGCTTGGTACTTAGTAACATATAGCAAAATGAAGTACAATAATAATAACATGATACATAATTCTTTTCTTTGACTGAGAGTGATTGGAGGTTAGAGCCAGCCAGATTCATCTCTGTTCTCTCTCACCAAAAACATTCTTTGTCTATTTTAGTGACTCAATTAATACTTTGTTGACTTATGACTCCTTTGAACTCTTAATTATTTAACTTTACTTCATAAATGATGCAAAACAAATGACTGGTTACCTTTTTAATTTCATCATAAATGAGATACCATACATTTGAAGAGGCATATTTTGTCTTCTCCCTGACAATGAATGATAAGAGCCAAGAATGGAACAGAACTAGGAATCTGGCCCATCTGGATGAAACTTCAAACTCTATACAAGAGTTCTGGGAACCCTCCCATATCCACCAAAAACAAGGAAAGGGTTAAATGTTCTAAAGACATGCTACACTTTGTTTATCTATTTATCTTCATGGACATTCAGTTGTTTCCAGTTATTGGTTACTGAAGGTTTGGATACAAGTTATTGTGTGAAAGTGTGTATGTACGTACTTTATTCTTACTTAGGAGGGCACTTTATGGATCACAATTTAAATACGTGTTAAATTCATTTGCATTTGCCAAACTGTTTTGAAAAATGGTTGAACATTAATATATTCTTATCAATAATTATATGAGTTTTAGTTATACCACATCATTTCCCACAATTTTTTTCTGTTTCTCTTTAATTTTAGCATTTGTGGTGAGTGTTTCTCTTCTTAAGCAAGGTTAGGAGTTTTACCATAGCTATTCATCAGTCATGCATATATAATGTCATTATGGTAGATCTTTTTACTAATTTGCAGGTTTAACTCACAACTGGATAAAGACCAACATTGTAGAGAAGAGAAACAGAATTGAAAATAAAAATATTTAGGTGAATTATATGTAATAAATCACTCACTTATAATGGAAATAATATCATCTCTAAGAGGACAAAAGCTGAGTGTAGGGAGATGAAAATCATGATTATTACAATGAATTTTAGCCTTTCAAAACCCAAGGAAATCTTATTCCTTATTACTTAACTTTTATTAGATTTTATTAGCTATTATACAAGCAGCACAGGTATCAGGAGATCTCCAGAGGATGTGCAGAAATTCTGGTGAATAGATGGGTGTGGCAGGAGCACATTCTTGACTTTGAAATCTTAAAATCATGCAGTGGGAGGTACCTATTAGTGCTCTGGCTGTGCCTGTTTGCTGTGTGGATACTTCGTATGCTGGGCCCTTGGTGTTTTTGAGTGTGACTTGAACACAGATAATTAAATAATTAAATAAAAATTATTCACATTTTATTATTAATCCTACAAATCTATGCATACAATCATTATGTCAAACACTGCATACAATCATTATGTCAAAGTTGATAACATCTGACTCAATATCCATCAGCTAAAGTTAATAGTAGTACTCTCATATCCAGCAGAGTTACACTTTAAATTCTCTAAATTTTTTAAATGATTATTTTAAAAATCGGGAGGAGTTGAAGAGAGGGAAGGAGATTCGGGAAAAAAGAAGAACCAAGAGATAATAAGTACAGGTACAAATTCTTTATGATGAATGTTATCATTGTGCATATCTAAAATGTACCAATAAAATAAAAAATAATGATTTAAAAATCATTTTACTTTTGATGGTAAAATAATGATTGTGGGCATGTAACAATCTTTATATTTTCATTGCTATATATTTATATCAAATGGTAGTTTGTGCATGTAACATTACCATTTATTACCATAACATTTTATTTCTCAGTAAAAAGGTTATAAATTTCTGTGAATTGTTAATTTTTTTTGAAGTATTGAGGATTGAACTCAAGAACTTTGTCTAAGCTACATCCTTAGCCCATTTTTTATCTTGTATTTTGAGATGGTGTATTGCTACATGTGTCTCTGACTTGGCCAGGTCATGCTCCAATTTGTAATCCTTATGACCCACCCTCAGTGTGGTGGGATTATAGGGGTTCATTAGTACACCTTAGGTTTAAAGTTTTCAGTTTAACTTTTAACTTATAGTTTTATTTTGTCATTTTAACCCTATATTGAATAAAAAGGAAACTTTATATTTTATTGGTATCTATAAAGCTCAAATATGCAAGTAGTACATAAAGAGATAGATATACATTACTATCTGTGTCATTAAAATTTCATGATGGGAGTGAGTAGCAAAAGTACCTATGAATGAATCCTTGGCAAGGACTAATGAAAAGGTTGAACAGTAGTATAATAAGGGAAATTATTTTCCAATGATATTGCTTTATTTTATACTCATATATGACAACATGTAAAGTCATATCTAAAAAACTATGTTATTTTAAAACTATATATGTTATGTAAGATACATTATATGTATAAGTATACCTTTATTATATATTGGTTGGAATATAACATATTTCTTATTGTATTCAGTGGTACAGAAAATGTTAAAAAAATGAATCAAAGATCTAAATCAGACTTGGATCTTAACAATAATAAGTTTTTTCTTTAGTGACTGACTGACTTTTGGATGCCAGATACTATGCTAAGGATTGCATAAAGGGCTCAGGATTTTATTGAGTACTCCAGAGAACTTTGTACTTACTGTTTGCTTAATTTATAAAATAAGACAAGTATTACTGACCTCACAGAATATTTTGGTGAAGACTAAGTGAGATGTAAATAAAAGGCCAAGAACAGTGCAATGGATGGATTATTTTTGAGAACTTTTAGTTAGATATTATGGAGTATATTAAACTCCCTGGAACACTCTCACAATCCAGTTTCACAGGCCATTTTATAGCCCCCAATGAAGCCATATAAAGGCATATTACAAATCCAGTAACTGCTGCAGGTTTTAAAGAGCAAAGGTCACTGTGATATTTTGACTAGATAAATGCAGAAGAAAGACCTTCGCCTGAGCTCTGAGAAACAGATAAGGCTTTGGAAAGGCAGAGAAATTTTTTCAAGCCAGGACAGAATAGAAACAAGATACAGAGCAGGAAATGAGTGTGATATTCAGGTAATCAGATTTTGTGAAATACAGACTTGGTGAATAATGAGATACAAAACAAGGAAGAGAGGCCATTAATAGAAACACATTGGTGAAAGATTTAGGCTAAAGTTTTTGAACAGTTGACAGATATTTTCTAGTCAGATGAATGAAATGAAACATTTAAAGTTTACTTATGACATTATATAGGAGTGAGGGAAAGATCTGATACTAGAAAACTGTAATGACACCACTGCATTAATTCAAGCATGCACATGGAGTAAAGTGCATGAAAGTGATGGAGATGAACTACATGTTTAGGTGGGAATAGATATCTGTCCTTCTCCCAAAATAACCAGTCATGTTTTGGTGGGACTAAAGAAGAAGCAATGAATGTAACTGTGTGATTCAAAGGTCTAAAAGAATAAGAGACAATACTGCTGTGAATAGTGGAAAAATTAAAAGGACTTGATAAATGTTTGGTTTTGCAGTTAGATCTAATATAATTACATAGCAATGTAAGACAATTTAGATAAAGTGCTGGCAGTAGAGGTGAAGACTGTGGTCAGATCTTCCAATGTAATTTAGGAAATCATGAGCACATAGACAATGGCTAAAGTTCTCAGAATGAATGAGTTGCCAAGAGAAACAGGACTGAGAAAGGAAATCAAACTCTTAGGACTCCAGTCATGAAACTGTGCCTACGCTGTCTCTAGACAGGGCCTCTCACTTGCCACTCTAAGTAGAGTAGTGCAAAAAAATTCAGTGGGGAAGAACATTACTGGCATTTTATCTTTATAGTGCACTAGCCCAAAATGGGATATTTCCTTAAATTTTTGTAATACATATGTTTCTCTGTCAACTTTTTATATTTAAAAAAATAAATGTTGGAGTTATATAATAACTGGATATTACTATTCACTGGAAATCCTAAAAACAAGAGCAAAATCCCTATTTTGGGGTAGAAATTTCCTAGGCTCATATTTCATTGCACATTGATTCAGTATAAACTTTTCACAGGATGAGGATATAACGCTCTCTTCACTTTCTTCTTGATGATCAATTTCTGGTATTTGCCAAATTAAAAAAAATAGGAAGACAACTTGAATAAAAAAATGATAGTCTGAATGTTAATTTTTAGTAATAGCAACAGAACAAAATGTTCAAGTAATTAAGTACTACTCAACATCCAGTTTTAGATGAAATAAGAAACAGGTTTACATGCATCTATCTTTCTAACTTCAATTATATTAAAATGCAATTATATGTAAGAAATTATAGGAAAGACATGAAAGTATAAGAAAGTCAACTGAATGCTAATAGATATAAATTTATTTGTTTATAGTTATTTTTTTGGTTTTTAATAAAATCTTATCAAGTGTTAAGTGTGTGAAACTTTCACATAATTTATGAGTTAGCAAAACTGATTTTATGAATGTTAGGATACCTTACTCATAGCATAAACTAGTGCACTGTGTTATTCTGTAGAGCTGTTTTCTTTATATTGTGAGTTACTTCATTAGAAAACGGGCTTCCCTGTTTTGGTTTAATCTTATTGTACCATAAATATTTGTCTTGTATTTGATGCAAAGCATAGCAAATTTCACAAAACTTCTTTTAATAAACTTGTGTATACTTTAAAATAATTTTATATTAGCAAAGAAGGCAAAAAAAGGTACATTTAATTCATACTCACTGTGGCAATGCTGCTGGCAGGGAACGTCTAATAATTGAGTGAACTTGTCTGTAAACATCCAGTTTAGACATGCATCGGCAGGAGGTGTGATTGGCAAAACTGACTGTTACTGGTTTGGGGCCTTGAGAGAGAGGCACTGTAATTTCAAACAACTACAAAGAAGGGACAAAAAAGAAGAAAAAAAAATTACATAGATTCTATAAAGCACTTTTATGATAAATGTTGGAGTCCAAAAAGAGTGAGATTAGCTCTTTAAGATTATGTAGGGCTGCAAAACATACTCAGGACACTACTCTTTGGTATGATTACAAAGTAAAAACTGCTCCTAAACAGTATCTCTAATCAAAATAATTATCATATAATTATCTTACATCACTACTTCTGAAATATATTAGAATTATGATAAGCAACTAACAATTACACAATTACACAGCAGAGATGTGACATATCAATGTGTTCAAGGAAAAGTAATTGTTTTAGAATCCTAGATTACTTAATTCCAAAGTTTAAATTATATAGGGATTTAAAAAGTGGCACTTATGTTTACAAACATATTTGTGATTTAATAGCAAAGCTACTGGTCATGTAACCTAGAAATGCTTGGTTAAGTCCTATTTTATGAGAACTAAATTTATGGGTATAAATTTCATAGATGTAAAATTAAGTTTCATCCAAATTACACTTCTTTCTCAAAGAAGTTTTCTTTTTTTTTGGTACTGGGGATTGAACTCAGAACCTTGCGCTTGTTAGACAGGCATGGCATGACTGAGCTACATTCTCAGTCCTTAAAGGAGTTTTCTACACGTTTCAGATGTCTCATGAATTTATTATATTTAAAAAACAAACATAATGATTATTTTATACATGAAGCTATGTTTTTGCAATCCTAACAAGGTGTTATGAAAATGAGCTTAAAATAAGGTTGGACATTTTTATGATTCTGTATTAGAGTCTTAAAATTTAGTTTAACTAAAGTTTCATGCTGAGTACTTTATTTATGCAGAAACTGAGTTGCTCTCCATAAAATAATGTTTCAAATTAAACACAAATTTCTGATCAAGTAAAATTAGGTGGATTTACAGTCCTCAGGTTAACCTCTAAAATATCACCAGTAAAAATAGTAAAAGTGAAATCCTGTGCATTAACTGCTTGAGAAGATAAATTTGTAGTAACTCAATAATAACTGAGTCAGGTATTACTGGGTACCCTGTGGCAATGTGAGCTGTGCTAAAAGGCATGATACACTCCAGAGCCTTGAAATTTGGCCATGTGCTAGAGCTGCATGCCATTGGCTTAAGATCATCAAAAATACTGACGGGATAGAAGCAGTTGCCAATTTTGCCACACCAACAGAGAGGTTTTTACAAGGAATTTTAATAAGAAATTATTTATGTGTTAAATTTGATAGATATTTTCCCAGAAATTCAAGTTAATAACACATATTTCCCATTTGCAAAAATAGGAACAAAAAAAAATGAAACACTGTCATTTTCAACAATGGATAACACTGGAAATCATGTTAGGTGAAATGAGTTAGGAGTAGAACAAGTCGTCCCTGGTGTGTCACACATGTGTAGAATATGAAAGCTGACCTCACAGATATTAAGGATAGAATGGTGGCTAGTACAGGCTGGGGAGGGTAGAGAAAAAGGAAGAACAGAGAAAGGTTAATCACTGGGCACACAGATGCAGTTAGATAGAAGTAAGAAGTTCTGGTGTGTTACTACATAGTACAATGATTATAGAGAGTGATTATGTATTGGATGTCTCAGCAAGCTAGAAGAAAGGTTTTGAATGTTTTTGCGAGAAAGAATAATCACTTCATGAGATAGCTATGTTTCACTGGATTATACAATGTATCAAAACATCACATTACACACTTAATATACATGATTTTTGCTTTTACATAGTAAATATAAATCTAATAAAAAGAAAACATCTAAATTATAAGATATACTTTATAATCATTTGAAATGTTTTCATTTTATCTTCATTCAAATATGCAGCTATTTTATTACCATAAGGACAAATGAGAACATGATCCAGACAAAGCAGTTTTTTTAGCTTTCTCTCCTGTAAGTTATATGAACTTGAAAAAGTGATTTAACCTCTCTTAGCTGGATTTTTCTTTCAATAAACAGAATAATGTGGTACATCTCTCTGTGGGATTGTTATGAATGTTATATAACCTAATATGTATGAAATGTATAATGTTAGCCATACAGAAGTTTACATTATTTGCATAAATTTTCCACATTCTAGCTATTTTCCAGAATACTGTCACTCCTACAAAGATAACCCCAAAGTATGACTCCTCATATGTCAGAGTTATGATTTCTATTAGTTCTTCTAAAGATGTTTGTTTATGCTGCTTGTATAAAACTTTTCATTAGGTGAAATGATAGAAATCCTTTACACTATAAATAACTATTTAATAACAGAGTTTTTGCAAGATCCAAATATACTACAAAATTTCTATTTCTTAGAGGATCTATATTAAGAATTAGCAATAGAAGATATACAGTGATATATAATAATTTTTAAATAAATCTCTGTCCCTCTCCCTCTGTCTCCTCCTTCCTCCCTCTCTCTTCCTTTTTCCTTCTCCCTCTCCTTCCTCCCTCTTGTTTTGTGCTACTAGGGATAGAACTCAGGGTCTTGCACATGCTAGGCAAGAACTCTCCTTCAGAGCCACCTACCCAGACCTTAATTTTCCTATTTATATAATTTATTGTTAGAGGTAATTATACACTGACATAGTGTGAATGTCAGGAAGTTATACAGGTCAGCAAACAAAAGCACAATATTTTATATCTAATAGTCAGATGTGTCCAGAGCTCAAGGAGAGCCATATAAAAGTCATAAGTATCTAAACTATAAAATGTTGGACACTGATGAGATTCTTAGAACATTTGGAATGAAAATAGAAAATGTCCAAAAATAGAAACCTGGAAAGCAGGAAAATTTAAGGATTGAAAAGGGACCAACAAACATGGGGATGAAACCCAGAAGAAAGTATTTTTAGGACAAAAGAAGCAAAAGAAAGAGAAGAAAGCTTCAAAAAAGTGTGTGTGATCATAAGGTCAAGTGTTTCTATGCTATCAAGTACAGTAAAAGTTGATTAGAGATAAGTGTCCCAGCAGAAGCTAGAGGGGTGTGGCTGGGCAGGAGCAACAGGAGCAGAGGAGAAGGAATGGAGGAGTAAGAGAGGCCTCATGGGACTGGAGAGTAAGACTCATATGGGATAGCTCAGGCCACCAGGAATGTTGTTGCTTATAGAATGACTGTGATCGCTGCAAGATTCGGCATGGTTTCGCATGCACAGATCCTGACAGTGAAGGATAAATCACTATTTCAGATAACAGCTATCTAGAAGAGTTGATGTTTTACCACCTCTGACCCTTGGCAACATCATTCCTGCTCCCAGTGATGGCTGCCATGCTGGGCCTTCACCTGGTCTGTTTTCCAAAGGGAAACAAAAACACGAGCAATATGTATGGCTAAACATCATCCATCTCTGGTGGATAGTGTCCACACTTAAGGGTCTTCCCACAGTATCAAGTGTGTATTTGGAAATGAGGGCCCTGAAGACTATTCTGGTGAGATGGAGAACAGTTACTATGATATGAGAAAGTGAATTTCTGGATTATAAACCTAGTTTATCTTTTAAAAGGTTGGAGGAGACTTACAGTGTTGAGCACAGTGATGAAAGAGACAGAGACCCATAAAAAAGGCATTGAAACAAATCACCACTGACAGGGCTTTTTCTTTTGCTCTGATTTGAATGGTTATTCAAGAATTACAATAGGCAATGGGAGAGAAAAATTTACTTTTAGCTTAACTAAAAGAAAAGAATTACTGATGTCTTACTTATTTGTCCTTAAGTAAGCAGCAAAGCAGCTGAATTTAGTTAGTTTTTCTTGTTAGAGCTAGGGATCCAACCCAGGGCTTTGCACATAGTAGGCAAGTGTGCTAACACTGAGCTACAACCCAGCCTTTGAGTTTAGTTAATTTGCTCCAAGGAGCAAATACGAGTAAAATCCAAAAGTAAATATCCTTTTCTTCTCTTGAAACAAATCCACCATCTTCATGTCTTGCCCTGTGTTTTTCGGTTACCTTAATTCTCTGTTTGAGTGTGTCAATGGGGAAACATTTATTTTTTTAAAAAAATTAATTTTATTGGTACATTAATATTCATTGTTGGAAATTTGTGCCTTTATATAATCAATCTTGGTTCTTTTATTTTTCCCCATTCCCTTGTCCTCCCTTCAACCCCTCCCTCCCTTTGTTTCTACTAAGACTTTGTTTCCATTATTTTTTATTTCCTCATATTAACTCCATTCCTTTCTTTGCTTCCCTTTTCCCCTCTCATGTGGAAAAATTTCAAGGGTCCTACGAAAGGCGCAGATGGACAATATGAAAAGTAGGACGTTTGCTGATAATTGAGTCTTATTCATCTGCCTACATCAAAACCATTAACATCTACTGAGACTACACCATATATGTGTGCATTAGGACATAACTGCACCTATGCTAGCTCTGTCATATACTGAGGGAGCCTTTGGTTGAACCCTTGTGTTCAAGGAATTCTGAAGTTTTAAATTTCTGCTTAAATATCTTTCCTCGTTTAGTTTTAACAATTATTTACTGATTACCAAGCTCCTGGCCAGAATCTCAGGATAACAGTCATGAATGACTATTGCTTCTATGCAGCTCATAGTTAACAAGATTAATGATGACTGTAAAGGTGAGTTAGAACACAGATACATGCAGAGTAAGAAATACTTATATTAGAATCTTTAAAATACCACCTTACCAAAAATACTGTCAGTAAGCAATAACCTGAAACTTAATTTCCATGTGAAATTTGTTTCGGCTATTGCATGAAGATGTGAGCTAACTTCGTAACTATAATTTCCTCAAAAAAGAATCAAGATCTATCCAAATATACTGGTGTTTGAAACGATAAGATTATTTTATATTTTTGTAAAATGAGTCCATATACCATGGCAAGACTATTTTTTGATGTAACGTGTGCATAATAGTATTTTATGTTCTACACCTAAGTTCACAGAACAGTAAATTTGTGTATTCAGCATTAGCTAATAATTCTATATATTTTAATAAATATTAATTGATAGGATAGTTTATG